CAGGGTCTCACTACATGTCATGGCTGGCCTTGAACTTACTCTGTAGCTCAGGCAGGTTTTGAACTTATGATCCTCCAGCCTCAGCTTCCCATGTAGCTGGAATTATATCACTTTTTTTTATTTCCCGAGACAGTCTTAATTTATAGCCCAGGTTGACCTTGAACTCACTGTCTAGCCTAGGTTGTCCTCAAACTTATAGTGATCCTTTTGCCACCTCAGTCTCCCAAGTGTTGAAATTATACACAAGTGGTACTATCCTTAATTCTTTTCTTTTTCTGTACTGGGTGTTGAACCCAGAGCCTTGTATGTGCCAGGCCCTGTGCTATGTCTCTAGCCACCATCCTTAATTTTTTTTTTTTTTTGGTCTTTTTGAGACAGGGTCTCCCTGTAGCCGCAGCTGGCCTGGATTCGCTACAAAGACCAGGCTGACCTCAAACTCACAGAGATCCACCTGCCTCTGCCTCCTAAGTGCTGATTAAAGGTGTGCGCCACCATGCCCTGTCCTTAATTTTTTTTTAAGACAATGTCTCATGTAATCCAGGCTCCCTAGGTAGCTGAAAATGACCTTGAACTTCTGATCCTCCCACCTCTACTTCTGAGTCCTGGGATTACATGTGTGTGCCGCCACACTCAATTTATATGGTGCTAGGGATTGAACCTAGGGCCTCTTGCTTAAGTGAGCACTCTACCAATTGAACTACATTCTCATCTGATTTTGTTTTTTGTTTTATTTATTTTTAGTTTTTTAAATTATTTTTATTTTTTATATGTATGAGTATATTGCCTGTATGTAGGTAAGTGCACCCATGTTGTGCAATGCCCTCAGAGGACAGAAGAGGCTGTTGGATCCCGTGGAACTGGAGTTACGGACAGGTCTTTTGAAAAAACAACCAGTGTTCTTAACTGCTGAGCCACCTCTCCAGCCCCTTATTTTATTTATTTTGTTTTGGAGTTCAAGGTCTCACTATTTAGCCCAGGCCTGAACACACAGTAATCCTCTTTCCTCAGCCTTCTGAGTGCTGAGATTACAGCAATGCCTGGTCTTAACGTGTGTGTGCTGTGTGTGTGTGTGTGTGTGTGTGTGTGTGTGTGTGTGCAGGCTTTCATGTATGTATGCAGGTATATAAGTGCTGTGGTGCACATAGGGAAGTCAGAGAACAACCTTGGATGTCAGTCCTAGCCTTCTACCTTGTTTGCAGGGTCTCTTGGCTGTTTTTCCACTGCCTATTGCCAAGCTAGCTGGCCTGTGAGCTTTCAGGGAGTCTCCCGTCTCTGCCACTCATCTCCCTGTAGGAGTGTTGAGATGAATGATGCTTATTTTTATGTGGGTACTGGGGATTTGAACTCAGATCCTTATGCTTGCATGATAAGCACTTTTACCCACCAGGCCGTTTCCTTAGCCCATGGTTTTAACTTAAAAAAAGATTTTTTTTATTATTTTTATTTACATTTGTGTAAATCTGTTTGAGTGAATACCTCATGTGTGCAGGTACTCACAGAGGCCAGAGAAGGGTGTTGGATCTCCTACAGCTGGACTTGCAGGTGGTTATGAGCTCCCTGATATGGGGACTGGTGTGTGCTGGGAACCGAACTCCAATCCTCTCCAAGAACAGTATATACACTTAACTGCTGAGCTGTCTCTCCAGCCCTAGCTTTAACTCTTGCTTAGGGACAGTTCACTACTTGTTTGAGGCTATTGGAGGATGGTGGCCATGAAGGAACTTGGTTTCCTGTGATTATGACTGGTTTCCCCAGGGAAAGATGGGGTGCTGAGGTTTAGTGGTGATTCTAGAAGTTTTATGAAGTAGGTGTTCAGAGTTAGTTACCTGGCTGAAAGGAGAACTTGATGCTGCAATCCCAGAGTAAGTCCTGTGAAAGCATGCATGAGGGTGTGGAAGAACTGGACAATTGTGGTGGCAGGGGTTCAAGGGGACACTCCTTAAGGCAATCTTTGGTTTCAAACCCTTGCCTCACTGTATGACACTGGGCAAGTCACCACCCTGACCTAAGTGCCTTTTTGTAGGATGGGGATGGACTACCTACTGTGAATGTTTGTGTATGAGGCTGTGTACGTTGCTGGGTGACACTAGGGAATGGTGGGGGTGGGACCATAGCTTTGTGGGAATGGGTTGGGACAAACCTTGGAGGCTTTCATGGTTTGGGTATAGGAAGGTGTTAAGAAAGGGAGAAGGTGCTTTTCTGTCCAGGACTGGGCCTCCTGATGAAGACTGTTTGGGAACCTTTAATAATATTACTAATATTATCATAGCAACTGATATTTACTGACTGCTTGAATATACCAGACATGGCTCTGTGCGTTATATGCATAATTTAATTTACTTGTTATAACTCCTTGTGAATAGATCCTATTATCTCTGATTTGCAAAAAGCGGTAACCTTATAGCTCTTTGGCGATGCAACTAGGATTTAGGCCCCCATTGGTCTAAGACCAATCTCTGGGACCTCCTACTTTATATTGTTTTTGAGGGGGTGTGCAGGGGAGTCTCAACATCCTTTTTATCTATCTCCATTAGCCTCAAACTCTACTTTGACTCCGTCAACAGTGAGGAATCTGTCCTCTTTTTAGAATCTGGCCTGTGTATGTGTCTGCCATTTATCTGTGTGATGAATGATGACAGTGTGAGGGAAGGGAGAGGTCTAGCTATATTTCTGAGTAAGAGGCAAGGTGGGGGCTCTGCCTGCTTCATTTAGTGGTTTATGTTAGGGCTTGGTACATAGTAATTGCTAAACAAATATTTGTGGAACAAATAAACGAGTGTATACATGGGAGGTTCTCCTTGAGGACTTCAAGCCCTGGTAGATGAGGATGAACTGGTGGGCATTGAGACCAGCTCCAGAGCAGGGTCTATGGTCCCTCTGCTTCTATGTGCCTTCATCTACCATGCCTCTGTTCTCATGGGTGAGGCTGTATCTGGCATGAGAGCACAGGAGAAAAACAGTCAAGAGCATCCTCATCTGTACTATGGATCAAGGAAATCTTGCCTTACCTGGGCACAGGGAAGCTAAGTGAGGTCCAGGACAGGCATGAATGTGGAATGGTACCTCTGTGGGTATGTGTGAGTTTGTGTGAATGTGTGTGTGTATGTGGGTGTGACTCAGCCTGGGCTCAAAGAGTTAAGGAATGAGGTCAGAGTCTCTAGCACAAGAGGCAGGCCAGACTGTTGACCACCAGTGCCCTGGACCAATCCCTAGGGACTGGGGATCTGGCTGGTGAGAGGAAGGGTGAAGGGAAAGAGCTACTGGGGGAGGCAAGAGGAGAGACAGGACAATTAGGGAGAGGAGCGCTTGGCCTCTAGAGAGTAGGGGAGAAGGATTCCTGAGCATTAGACTTCCCTGAACCTGGTCAAGGAGTGTGGAGGGAGGCAGAGAACGACAGCATGCTGGGGAAGATTTAAGAAGGAGGTGTAGAGCCATCTTGTTATTCTGGGGCTGGAAGCTGTCAGAAAACCTGGTGGGGACAGAGGCAACACGAGGGAGAAGGTGTTCTGCAGAGGGGGCTGTAGGACTGGACACCTGGAGCCTCATATGTGCAGTAAGGGGCAGTCCTGGCCTATGCTTTTGACCACTCCCCTCTGCAGGGGTCATAGGCCAGAAACCAGCCTTCCCTGGGTGGTTCTCTCCCCTGGGTTAACTTTCCTCAGAAGGCGGCTCTTGATCTACCCCTGACACTTGGCCTTGGAAACAAGAGACTAAATAAATAGAGTTAATCTCATTTTTAGGCTTAATCCACCATTGGAAATGCCAGCTAGCCCAATGGAGGGCAGTGGCAATCAGTTAAATGCTTTGTAAATAGACTGCTGACTTGGAGGATGAACACTGGTCCCAGAACCACTGCCAAATTTGCTCACTGGGGTTGGATGGACCTTAACTAGTTGACCATCTTTAACCAGATCCTGAAGGGCCTGGCTATTTGCAGGCTGCACCCTAGACCTGCTCCTCCAGTGTGGCATCAGCGATGCTGGGCCCCCCGTCTTCCTCAGTGCATGCCCCCAGCTCCTCACTTCTTATACTCCCTCCCTTTTTCCTTTCTTCTCTCTCTCTCTCCCTCCCCCATCCTTTGAGGCATCACCATGGCATCACAGCAGAGCAGAAACCCAGCTCGATTCACCCACCTCTTCCCTGCTTGCCTGCCTGCGTGCTTGGAGCCCAAGCTCCTGCCTCACAAAGCTTGTGCACCCTCCCCTTCCCCATCCCGTCATCCTGTTCATGGAGGTGGAGGCACAGTGTTATACTGAGGATGAGGAGAGATGGGTCTCAGTCCCAGCTGGACCCCTAAATCTCCATATGTGGCCATGAGCATGCCCATTCCCATTTCTCAGCCTTGGTCTCTCTGTCAATACAATGGGAAGGCTCTGCCTAGATCCTTCTTGACACTTTGGACTTTGTATTGCACTTCAAGATCCAGTTCTCAGATCCACAGCCACTAGCCTTAGCAGGGAAGTGAAAAATTACACCTTCCAATTCCACCATCTCCCCTACCCTATTTCAGCAGGCTTGCCTAGTGGCTGAGGTCAGGGGGTAGACAGCTCTCCTCTGATAGTTCACTGAGCAGTTGAATACAGCTCCTCTGTAACAGAGTCTGCTTGAGTCCTTCTAGCCAGTGGGGCAAGGGGACACTGGACCAAACTGGGTGGAAATGCAGACATGCTCTGTGGGAAGAGGTGAACCCCTTTTTGTTGGAACTCAGAACCCCTAAGTTTATAGGTCTTTATAACCTAATTGTCCCCTTTTCAGTTGCCAGCCTGGCTCCAACTCATCCTTGCCAGAGTCTGGGGGCACCGAGACAGGTACCTGCCACAGGTACACATAAATATCCATTAGTTTCCTGAGCCCATGGCTGTGATCTGCCCTGTGCAAACCAGAGATACTGAACACACAGGGTCCCTATGCACATCAGGGCCACACTTTCTGACTGGTGTGGCTTTCCCCAGGAGCACTGGAGCTTTTCCTGATCTGCTGGCTTCTGACCCAACACCCACCTTGGCATCCAGCTTGTCCATCTGGCCAGCAGCCTGGTTCAATCCATCTAGGGGGGCTGAAGATGGATGGGGGAGGTGGGATTCAGGGTGCCCTGAAGGAGGAGAAAAGGAGGTTCTCGGACTGGTGTCCCCAAAGGTATATGTGTGGGGTCATCCTTTCATAGGATGCTGATGGCAAGGGCTGTTGCCTGCCCTTCCCATTTGTGCTGGGGGCTCTGCTTATTGCATGGCAGTCTAATCCCTTCTGGACTCTAGGTCAAGTTTTCCTAAGGGGGTCTTCATCTCTTCTACCAACTGAAGCCCAGAAAAACATCAGACGAATTCACTGAACACCAGAAGACAGGGTTTTTGGAGCAGCCAATGTCCAGTACTAGAGCCCTTTTGGCTTCTAGACCCCTCCCTGGCTGCCTCCTCTCTCCGGAGTCCACCCCCATTTCCTTGTCCCTGCCCTACCCCCGAAGACCCTGCTGCACCTGCACCCAGCTCAACGCAGCCCCTCCTAAACCTTCTCAAATGTACTCACCATGGGGTCGAAGAGCGGTCTGCAGGGTCCTCAGTTCCTCTGGTTCTCCGGGGGCCTGAGATGTCTCCTGGGACCCAAACACCTGGCTCCTGGGGGGAGCTGCGCCCTGTGCTGGCAGCGGGAGAGGCACAGCCAGTGATTGGCATGTCCCACCCCCTGGCACGCCAGCCTTGGTGGGGGGGCGAGGGAGGAAGGGAAAGAGAGGGAGGGAGGAAAGGAGGAAAGAAAAGGAGGGGGAGCAGGAGGGAAGCCTCAGGCAGCATCTGGGGTTGCACTAAGTCCTGGAGTATGCCCCCCTTGGCCACCAGGGCACCCACTTTGAGCCCCGAGACAGAGGAGGCAGGACATGAGGAAGGAGAGCCCAGGAAATGCTAAAAGTCCAGGAGAAGAGAGAAGGCGGATACAGAGAGACAAACACCCACACCCACTGCACACAGACTCAGCGGCACACACACACACACACACACACACACACACGCGCGCACACACACACACCCTTACAAAGGCACACTCTATTTCCCAGGCTCCTTCTCCACCCAATCTGAAAGCCCCTAACTCGTGTGCACCATGTCCCAACACACATGCCCGGTTATTCACATGCTTGCTTCCTTTACATACATGCCCTCCCCTCCCCCTGCACATGCCCACGCGCCCACCCACCCACCCACCCCACCACACACCCTGCCCTTCCTCCCTGCTGAGAGGGAGCTAGATTCCTTCTGTTTGGAAATGACACATTGGGCCTCACGTGAGAGGCTCCAACTTGGAACAGACCCAGAGGGCTGGCGCACCCGCCCTAGGGCTGAGCTACGACGTGCCCGTGTGCTGGGCAGTGCGCTCTAGAGTCTGTAGAGCGGAGGTCCGAGGGTACCTGAGTATCTGGTTTGTGGGGAGGCGTGGGGGGCCGTGTGCTAGCTCCATATGCTGTGGAGTGAGTGTCGGGCATGTGTGCGTCCCTGTGTACTCATGTCACCAGGCAGCCTGCGTAAATTCAGGTGTGACCCTGCGGGTCTGGAGTCAGGACCCGCTTGCGTGTGTCTGTTCTCAGTGTGTGTCTGGTGTGCCCAACTGTGGAATTTGCTAATTTTGACAAGCGAGGCAGCCTCTACCTCCCTGCCTGCTCCACCCCCAGCTTCCCCTTGGAAGACAGACAGACAGACAGACAGCTCTCCTCCCAGCTTGTCAAACTCTGTCTCCCCTGACTCCTACTCAGGGCTCACAGGTGTGTACCTGGGGAGCCCGAGTAAGAGTCTCCCTATCTCCCTCAGCCCTAATATTCGGGCCGCAGACCTTCCCCTAGGCTGGTTTAGATTTCTGTGTTGAGTTTCCCCAGAGATAGAGACCCTGGGGGGCCCTTTGCCATAGAGACCTGGGTCTAGCAACGCCCTAGAGACCTCCTGGGGAGCTGACCGTAGAGAAGTGGGAAACGTGTTCTTTGCCCCATGGGCTGCGGTGAAGCCCTGGGAGGGAAGGACTGCCGTGATATCCCCATTATGTAGGTGAGAATGTGATGAATTCGTGGTGAGCTACTGTTTGGACTCGGTCCTGGGGGCTCTGGAGTCTGGGGCTTGGCCAGCAGCCACAGCACAGGTGGTAGGTACATGTGGGGACACCTATCCTCTTGAGAAGTCATGGTGCCAAGAGGCACCCAGTGCGCCTTCTTTTTGTATTTGGTCAGCTACTGCAGCTAGGAGAGGAATCCGAACAGTTTTTCCTACCCCCGTGACCCCCCCCCCCACGGCGGGGGGGGTCATTAAACCCTCAGGGGTTAGGTCAGAACTCAAACAGACCCTGCACCAGGCTGCCCCCTGCTGGGCTGTCCTTAGATTGATGGTTGCAGGTTGTGAGCGCAGTGGGGGTGCGTGTACTTGTGCGCATACACGTGGCTGAGCGTGGGGATGTCAGGCCTCCACACTCAACATCCATTTCCGAGTCTGAACAAACTCCCTCTTTACCCCTCCCCCCAATCTCCTTGGTGTCCCTTTTCTCCCACCGCCTCTGCACATGTCCCTTTAGAAATAAAAACACTTATTTTGTGGGCGGGAGGGGAGGGTGTCCAGCTTTCCCCTGCCTCCTTTTGAGTGCACCCCCCTGGCCTAGGCGGCTGTCTTGACTCTGCAGCCACAAGGCTGGAGACGGGAGGTGGGGTGGGGGTGGGGCTAGTGCCCAGTCCTCCGGTTATTGTATCACTCTGCTTCCCTGCCTAGCTTGGCTAGGTCCCTTACCAGATGGGGAAACTGAGGCACGAGGGAAGAAGGAAGGCAGCGCGCGGAGAAGCGCTCCCGCCTGGCTTGCTCACCACCCCCGCACCCGCGCCGGATTTAGCCGCAGGGAGGCTGGGAACATTGTCTTTATTTTAAGCCGCCGAGTGCAGCACGAACGCCACTGCTCCCGACAAAGGGCTTTGCTAAGCGGCTGCAGGCGGCGCACGTGGGGGTCCGGCCCCGCCCCCGGGTGACTCCCCCCCCTCCCGACTCTGCAGCCGCCCTGACCACTCTCCAGCTCTCCTGAGGCTATTCAGGTGCGGCTTGGGCCTGGGTGGGCTCTGGGTCTGCGCGCCTGCTGGCTGCTATTTTTGGTTACCGTTCGATGACTCTGTTCCATTACAAACTCTCACGGTGGAAAAAGAGAGCAGTTGTACTGGGTTCGAATCCAGCTTTACCTTGGTACAGTTGTGCAACCATGGACAAGTTAGAGCAGCTCTAGGTCTTTTTAATCTATGACGCGGGAACAGAAGTACCTCCCTTGATGGGGCTGTTTCATCAAATAGTGGCACATGCAGCTTCTGAAAGAGAAAGCCATTATTGCTATTTATAATAGGTATTATTGAGTGCTAACTCCTGTCAGCTCCTATCAGGAGCTGCGAAGTGCTTTGCATTCATTAACCCATTGCTTGCTATTACTCCCATTTTACAGATTGAATAAATTAACAAACTGTGCATCCCTAGGGCTGTGCAGAGGGTTCAATGTGCTTGAACAATCCTGGGGTTGGGAATGTGCTGGGAGCCTAGGACCTGCAGGTTGGGAAGGACTTGTGGGATAGCATTTGTCTTTAAGCTTTTAAAAATTGCATTGCTTATTGTATGTGCATGTACATGTTAGGGTGCTTATGTGGAGGTCAGCCAACAACTCTCTGGAATTGGTTCTCTCCTTCTACCCTATGGGTCCTGGGCACTGAATTCAGATCATAAGGTTTGACAGCAAGCACCTCCACTCGTTGAGCCATCTCACCTGTCCAGATAATATTTTTCAAAGACCTCCGTGGGGTGGGAGTGTTCGCGTTGAACTTTCGCATCCTCTCTTTATTTAAGTGCTCAGCCCCGGCTTCAGTCCCGATCAGAATCTCAAACTTAGCCTAACCTTCCACTGCAGAGGCTCCTTTCCTGGTCCTGGAGGATGGTGGTCTTGGAAAGAGTTCTACTCCTCCTGTCCTGCCAGGCCCAGGAAGCACAGGTGGTTGGTTCTCAGTGTCCTGGCAGAGGATGGCAGTTCAGCCAGCCAGAGTCTGAGAAAGCCCCTTCGCTCTTCCCTGCATTGTCTTAGGGCTTCAATCTTACCTCCCCACCTTCCCCTTCATCCCAACAGACTACTTCCCAGATTTATAGGGAAAAACTATCCTCCAGGGTGGAGTTTCTGATGGAGTTTGGCCCAGCAGTGAGGGGATAGCAGATGTAGCCATGACAAAATTATGGGTCAAGAAATGGAGGACTTAGTCTGGTTCCTAAGATGAGCCCTCATAGACACAATTCCACTCAACGAATGCTTTGCCTTCTGGGCTGGCTTGTGTCGGGTTCCTTAGAGCAAAGAATGGGGAAGCAATCCAGATCCTTCACTTCGAAGCCTGTGAGCTTGTCCAGTGTGTTTTCCCCAGCCTGGTGTGACTGAGGTAGAGCAGAGCGCTCCCTGGCCCTTAGTGAGGTGGCACTGGGATTCTGACTTGGGATGTGAATGCTGGAAACAGAGATAAGCTCAGACCGAGCCTCAGAACTGTGTTCCCATGAGAGGTCCCTAAACACCCTCTATTCCTGTCTGTGAGGACAGTACTCAGAGCCCTGGTCATTTGTTCCTGCCTTGGAGTTGGACGTGTCCTGGAAGCATGGTCTAGATCCAGGAAAGCGCCACTTGCTCACGTTAAGGAAACTTCTGTTCCACTCTATCGCCAAAAGCAGTTTGGTCATTGGACACTGGGCCCCAAAGCTTCCACAGTATAGATGCATCCTGGCCCAGGTCTAGCTCCCAGGAGAAACTGCTGCATAGGTGTCCATGGAGCTTCCAGTGAAAATGTCAGTGGGAGTCCAGGCCTAATGCCCGGGTCTTCCAGATTTCTACCTTGATCTACCTTTATCAAGGTCCCTGCCCTGACTTTCCTTGTTTCCTTCCCTTCCTCGTATTTCCCTCCCCTCACCCCTTGGACATCCTGTTTTTGAGTTCCATCAAAGTGCAGAACCAGTTGTAGCCAGAAAGATCAGACAGGAAAGTTTAGGAAGCAGGGTATTTAATTTAGGCTGCAGCTTGGTCCCGTGGGCTCAAGGCTCAAGGTCTGGATCCCAAAGGGAGGAAACATACATCTTTTACACCTTCTGCATTGGGTTACAGTGGGAAGGAAACTTACACATTGATTGGCTAACGGCAAGTCTTAAAACTAGACAAATTTGTTATGAGATAGTTCTTAGAAAAAAAAAAGTTAAAAAAAATCCCTTGTCAAGAAGTTCCTGTGAAAGTCCCAACCGAGAAAAACAAAAAGAGCTTCTGTCCCGGGCTGAAATTGCAGTGTTCTGACCACAAAACCTGTCAGCAAACATCTAGCTGGTAAAGTGGTGGACATTTGATGGGAGAAAGAGAATATGGATTAAATCTTTACTTTCCTTGACTACTCCCTTAGCCTCTATAGCATGGGAATTCCAGGGCAACCTCACTGGCTCTCCTCACCCTCCTCACCCCTGCATGAGAATCTTGCCTCTGCAGACACACCAAGTGCATCTGGGGCTCCTGGCTGGAGTGGGGTGAGGTTGGAATGCTGTACCTGGTTGGACAATTTTAGTGGAGTACTGGCCACCCTCCGTGCCTCCCACTACATTGCCAAAGGTAAGGCCCAGCTCTGTGCCCAGATAGGCTGGGTGAGGGGCAGAGCTGTCCTGGGGAGTGTGTCCCATGCCACGTGCCCATTTTCATTCTCAGGGAAGAAAACAGTTAACACGTCTCATGCCCTTACAGTGCAGGCCTTTCCTTGGCAGAGGTGCATAAACAGTGGTACCCTATTGCCACCCAGAAGGTGCAAGGAGCTGGCTGCCCTTTCCTGAAAGTGTACAGGTTATCACAGTTATAAAGAATAGCTTTTTTATACCAGGGCATGGTTGCTCACTCGCTTAATCCCAGTGAGAGGCAGAGGTAGAGGCAGGCTGATCTCTATAAGATCGATGCTACCCTGTTCTGGGTAGTGAGTTCTGGGCCAGCCAGG